TGTTTCATCGAGAAATCTCTCTGTCTGTCTATCTATCTATCTATCTATCTATCTATCTATCTATCTATATCATTCTCTCCATATTTGTTTAGCCTTTTCATATCTATATATCCGTCTATCAATCTATCTGTCTATCACATTCTCATCATATTTGTTTAGCCTTTTCCATTCATCTATCTATCTATCTATCTATCTATCTATCTATCACATTCTCTTCATATTTGTTCAGCCTTTTCATATCTATCTATCTATCTATCTATCTATCTATCTATCTATCTATCTATCTATCTATCTATATCAGTCTGTTCCTATATATATATATATATATATATATATATATATATATATATATATATGTATGTATAATGGACTCTCTTGTCGGTTTCGTCATATGAGGATAAGAAATTCTTCTGACATTATGCTTTGTTCGACAAAAACATTTTATTATATCAGTAAATCATCTTTGTGGTTAACTGCAACAATGGAATTGACTTTTATTTTCCAAGTACTTTCCATCTCTTTTTGAGATCAGAAAGATAAGATACTGAGTAGAATAAACGGAGCGAACTTAAAATACGGGTATCAACTAAAGATATAACGTCTTGAAGTAATATATATATATATATATATATATATATATATATATATATATATATATATTAAAGACACTTTTTATGTTTATAAATTCTTTTTATAGTTACAAATATTTAAGTAAATCGTCTGTTTATAATAAACAGTATTAAACAACATTTACCGGTCTGAATGCTAAAACCTCCTGACGAATGGATTGAACAATTAAAGAGACGCTGAATATGACAATAATCACTAAGTGACGAATTTTATATTTTTATTGATCCTTTATATATATATATATATATATATATATATATATATATATATATATATATAAAAATGATTGAACTCACATTTCTCCGTAATGAGCTCATCCTTTAATAATAAATATATCAATATTGACATATCAATATTTTTTTTTATTTTGTTGCAATCTCTATAATTAAAATTAGCCTATTTGAATACGTACATCATCCAACCACCCAACCAGCATAAATAAGTAATGTAGTCGTCAGGTCGGTAATTAAACTTCAGTATTATATAGAAGAATAAGACAGGAGCATAAAACAGCCGAAACGTCATCAATATTACAATAAATGTAAGGATAACAGTCCTAAAAATGTAAATAAACTGTATTGTTGGTTATTTTACTATCAATATATATTGTTGGAGATACTTTTATATAAAAAAATATATTGCAGAGTAATGGATAGCGTCTAAGATTAAGGAATCGAAGAGCCGAGTTCGAATTCCACTCGAATCTATTACATTCACTTACGTGCTAATACCCTTGGGAAAGTTATAAGTCCTCTTCTTCTCACCAGGTATGGATAAATAACAGGACAGACCGAGTTCTATAGCCGTGGATGGCAACTAGTCTGTCGCAGAAAGAAATGGCAACCTACTGCGGGAAAAAATCTGCCTTATCAGTCATGTATCGAAAGATACATGATCGCCTAAGCGTGTATGACGCATGGCACATAACTTACTTTCTTACGGTTTTGTTTTTGTTTGGGGGTGCACTATATGGTCATAGCTAGGACCCTAACAGGTGTTACCACTCTGGGTCAACAACAATAATTAAGAAGTGGCTCCACGCTTCTCAGAATCTCCAATTTCTCGATTAGAGGCCATGCTGACGGATACAGTTCATCGTCATACCCAGGACTACCCAGAATCTAATATCTGCTTATCACAATTGCATTATGAACAACAGACGGATTCTATTGGTGTTCAACAAGCATTAATGTACCAGGCGTATGCAACACGGATTGTCTAGATGGGTGTGCTCAAAAATAAATGGTTGCTCAATATTATTGCTACAACACGACTTTGGCCTTTGGAGATAGGTTATGAAGCTTTGCAAAATTAAATACTTGACCGGTTAAACTAAAATTAACAATATTCAATAAATAATTTGATTTAGTATCTTTCGATCAACGAGGCATCTCTACGATAAAAGAAAGCGTTGATACTAGTTTCAACATGCACAGGAAGTTGAAGATCCCACCAGCCGAAACAGTGATTGAAAGAACAAAAGTGAAAATAATTAATTTAAAAATAACAAGACTTCATCCCTGAGCTTCGAGAGTTGTTGTGTTTTAGCTTTTATCAAATTTAAAATTTAAATCTTGTGAAAAATTGAACAGAACTCTTTACACTTTTTTTTTAGTCGTAAGGAACAAACAAAGTATTGGTGTCTCCATCCTCAACATGAGATATTTAATTACATTACATTATATTTCAGTTGTAGAGGCAGGTTAAACATCCGTATTAGTGGCGAGTAAATGATAGACAGTCACTGAAGTCTGTCTTCCAGAGAGAGAGAAAGAAAGCAAAAACTTTGTGCTACTCCATCTGCAGAAGTTGTGTTGAACATGTTTGCTGACGAAGAGATAACACGACTAAGTGGGGCCACACACACAAAAAAAAAAAAGAAATAAAGATTTGGAAGAAACAGCCCTTGGGGTACAAAGTTGAGAGGTCGTGTTTTTGTGGTTGTTCGTGCTGAAAATACAGGAGGTAGACGAGGCTTCAATATTAATTTCACTATTCTTGATGATTTCTGGACATTTTATTAATTTTCTTTCGTCTATTTTATCTCAAAAGAATTAAAGAACATTAATTATTGATGGTTAATCATCTAAGACGATTTCTCAATTAGGGAAATCTTGTTACGTACCAGACTTTTGGCACCGTTTCCAAATCGATTTTAACACGAGGTAGTTATAAAAAAAATATAGTATTTATTATTAACTTGTGTTTTATTTAATATATGATATGCATTTGAAGTTTCACGGTATCTGTCTAGAGGCTATTGTTGGAGGCTAAGTAAAAACTAGTCTGATTAAATTTTCAATCTTTCTCAGTATCTTCTTAACTCCAACACAAGCCAAGTTAGATTATCAAAATCATTATTATTAGTGTTTTTATTTTCTTTGATTTCTGGTGTTTACACATTTCTTTCCGGGTCCCGCCCAGGGACCTAAGGTTAGAAATGGCATCATGTCACTCTCCACTGACAAAAAAAAATTACATCGATAAAGCCCTTCGTAGAGTGTGGGCTGTACTTCTCAGAACATTTTTTTGTATCTCCTTGAGGCATGGACTTCCAGGAATCCCTTCAATTAGTTTACTGCAATCTTTTCCAACCTGTACTAGGGCTCCAACTACAACAGGGATTGTTGATGTTCCCATATGCCAAATTTTCGAGATTTCTATTTCAAGGTCCTTGTATTTTGACAGCTTTTTGAATATCTTCAAAGATACATTGAAGTCAGCAGGGACTGCCATATCAATAAGGAGGCACTTTCTCTTTTTGTGTTCTTTAATAACAATATCTGGGCGGTTGGCTTTGATTGTTCTGTCAGTGTGTATTGTGTAGTCCCATAGAATTGTAACAGGTCCAATCTCCGTAAGCGGGTCTGGGTGGTGTTCATACCAGTTTCTTTCAGTTTCCTTCCCGTAGAAGTTGCAGATTTTCCAGTGCAGATATTGGCCCACTCTGTCATGTCGGGTTTTATATTCAGTGGGTGCCAACATCGTGCAACCTGATACAAGATGATCAATCGTTTCTGGATATTTATCACAGAATCTGCATTTTGGGCTGACACAATATTTTAGTATATGTGCTTGATAATTCCTACTTAGCAAGCATTGGTCCTGCGCAGCAAGGATAAAACCTTCAGTTTCCGCTTTCAACCTTGCACTACGTAGCCACTGATGGGTACGGGATTGTCTACATCATATTGTTTGGTACAGGCAGAGTATTGGCCATGAAGCGGTTTATCTTGCCATCGCTTCTGTATCTGGTCGGTTGCATTCGCCTTTGTTGTCTTTTTAAGTATATATTATTATTATTATTATTATTATTATTATTATTATTAGAAAGAGCCGTGGAAATAGAAGTTAATGACTGAATAAGCCGATGGTTAGTTCTCTGACAATAAAATTTTACATACAAATTCCTCTATCGCATTGTGAGACATTTGAGCTTAACAACTTTAACAACTTTGTTGTTTTTTATTACTTCACGTCTCTTCTTTATCTTTGAGGAGATTGTCCAGCATTCACTGCTATATAGAAGGACTGATATTACATAACTGATCAGTACTCTTGTCTTTCTTTCTCTTGCTTCAAGTGTCTTCTTCATCTTTGAGGAGATTGTTCAGCATTCAATGCCATATAGGGGATTGGTATTACATAACAGTTCAGTACCTTTTTCTTTGTGTCTGCTGCTTCATCTATGAGGAGATTGTCCAGCATTTATTAACAAATAAGAGGATTGATATTACGTAACAGTTCAGTACTCTTTTCTTTGTTTCTGTTACTTCAAGTCTATTCTTCATCTGTGAGGAGATTGTCCAGCATTCACTGCAATATAGGACTGATATTATGTATCAGTCCAGTACTTTTTTCTTTGTTTTTGTTGCCTCAAGTCTCTTCTTCATCTGTGAGCAGATTGTTCAGCTTTTACTGCCATGTAGAAGGACTGATATTATGTAACAGTCCAGTACTATTTTCTTTGTTTCTCTTACTTCAAGTCTATTCATTATCTGTGAGGAGATTGTCCAGCATTCACTGCCATATAGAAGGACTGATATTACGTAACAGTTCAGTATTCTTTTCTTTGTTTCTGTTGCCTCAAATGTATTTTCATCTGTGAGAAGATTGTCCAGTATTCTCTGCCATATAGGAGGACTGATATTACATAACAGTTCAGTACTCTTTTCTTTGTTTCTGTTGCCTTAAGTCTATTTTCATCTGTGAGAAGATTGTCCAGTATTCACTGCCATATAGGGGTGGGATATTACATAATAGTTGAGTACCTTTTTCTTTGTGTATGCTGCTTCAAGTCTCTTCTTCCTCTATGAGGAGATTGTCCAGCATTCATTAACATATAAGAGGATTGATATCACATAACAGTTCATTACGCTTTTCTTTGTTTCTGCTACTTCAAGTCTCCTCTTCATCTGTGTGGAGATTGTCCAGTATTCACTGTAATATAAGAGGTCTGATATTACATAACAGCTTTTCTTTATTTCTCTTGCTTCATCTTTCTTCATCATCTATAAGGAGTTTGTCCAACATTCCCTGCCATATAGGTGGACTTATGTAACAGTTTAGATATTTTCCTGTTTCTTTTGCATTTGGAAATAATCTTTTGCTATCCAAATGCACCTTTTTTTTTAATCTTTGACTATCAAATTGCCAAAGACACATTTCTTAACTTGATTAAGATTTATAGATCGGTCAATGAATGTTAAATATTTCCTTATAAGGAAATGGCTAATATTAACATTACCTTTAGATATTAGGAGAACAGATACATCACTTTGATCCCATCTCGATGGCTATGAGGTGAAGAAAATTGTAACGCGATTAGTACTGGCTGCCCAGTCAATGATTTCCAAATGTTTCCTTATAAGAAAACAAGCTAATATTACTATTAACATTAAAGATGGGGGTAACAGATGCTACATTTTGATCTCAACTTGATGTACAGAGAGTGAAGAAAAGTGTAACTCGAGTAGCACTACTTGTTTGGTCAATGAATACTGAATGTTTCCTTATAAGGAAACAGCTGATGTTACCATTACCATTAAAGATTATATTTCCGTTTGATCCCATACCGATTATTATGGTGTAAAGTAAAGTGTTACTCGATTAACCCTCTTTGTTGGGTAAATGAATATTAAATGTTTCTATATAAGGAAACAGCTAATATCAACTTAAGAGATAAGAGTAACAGCTACTAAACTTAGATCCCAAATCGATGGCCATGTAGAGATGAAAAACGTAACTTATTTAGAACTGGCAGCTCGATCAATGAATGTTGATTTTTTTCTTTATAAGGAAATGGCTAATATTACCATTTCCGTATGCGAAGATGGATTCACACCTTTTTCGCAACAGCACTAGTGCGAAAGTGAATGACAAAGGCTGAGTTAGAATTTGAATTTCGCATACTTATTTCTTCTTTTGGTGCACGTTAAGCTGCTCTTGCATCTCTATTTTTAAGTTATCTTGACTGTTAGCAATATCTAATTGATCATTTGTACTCTATAGGTATTGAGTAAGTTTTTTGTGCGCTTAGCAGTCAGTCTCCCAGCTACGACTGTATTCAGTACTGGAATCAAATTTCTCTATTTCACTTAAAAAACATTTCTCTGTTGATCTTAATCTGTCCCCATTTTTGTCAGTTCACCAATCTCTGAGTGCGTCTTCCCTGGTTTAGGAGAATGTTAGCGGAAGGAAAAGAGAAGAAAAATTGATCACAATGTTTTACACGGCTTGGTGACATCATCATCTGTTTATGCATAAAAAAAGACCCAGAGAGTAAAATAAACAAAAACCACAGGAGTGTGCATCTTGTCATTAAATGTTTACTCAGCGGTAAAGAAAATAACAGATCGCTTGTTGAAGTCTGTTTGCCCAACACGTCGTTGTTGTCACTGACAAGACAGTCGTTTGACAGCCGTCTTATGAAAATTCTTTGCCAGACGATCTGCATGATACGTCATCGATGAAGCGCTAAAATAGACCAGTAGTAACTGAAGTTAACAGTGATCGATTTTTTGCTATTTATCCGTTTCCTGGCACAGAAGATTAACGCTCAAATAAGGCTCTGCTTAAAAAAATAAAAGAAAAAAAACAAAAAAAAAAACATTTTTTCCAGTTTTGACATTTAAAGATGGTTGCAATTTGGGTCTAATCCGCTTGTATTCTTTGCTTGTTTGCTTTTTCATCGTTTTTGTACAGATGTTTCTTTAATAATCGAAAAACAAAAGACTTGTTGCATATCAACATCTATATTTTTAATGCCGAAATTTTTTTATTTTGTAGACAATTTTTATTTATATTCAGATAATAACAATTTAGTGTTACAAGTTGTTGTGGTACGATACACCTAATTTACATAAGTGGATTACCGACCATATAAATATGGGTTGGTACCGGAAGACGGGGGAAGATTAAGAGATCGAATCCAGAGACTCTGCCCGACTGCGATTTAGTCAACCCATTCTGCAGGAACAGTCTTCCCAAGAATATACCAAACTAACTGTAAATATTGTGTACCTTTTCCTTGTTTCAATACATTTTGTTTACGTACATTTTGTGTTGTATTATTATTATTCCATGCTTATCCAAGTTTCAACACAAGTCAAGCTAATTAACCCATAGCTGGGGAGAAGAGGTAGATTTGCAAAGGGTATTAGCGGGTAAAAGAGTATAAAGAACTCAACGGGAATTGGAACTCGGCTTTCCAATTAACAATCCTGAGCCATTATACATTACACCACCCGCACATCCAAGCTTACAGCATTTGGTATTCCCAAGAGGTCACCCATCTAGGTACGGACCAGGCTGGACGTTAATCAACTTCGGTGATCGGACGGGAACCCGTGTTTCAACCTGTGGTGGTCGTAATCCGAACAACTAGAAAAATCCTTCCATATAAAGCGAGAGAGAAATCAGTGAAAATATCTTTAATTTCGAAACGAGTATCAGGGGACAACACATTCAAGGTCCAAGGATCAACCTAACAGATTTGAATAAAGCTCTATTTAAGAACCGATCAGTCAGTTGAAAATTGGGGTCAATTTGATGAACCCCGTTTAAACAAATTTCAGAATATCGAACAATTTTCTTTGGAACGAGATGGAAAATTTTGACAAATTAGTTTTAGAACGGGATCCAATCTATTGACTAAGTAATTAAATTAGAACGAAGATCAAATTCCTTATCTTTGCTGCTGTTGTCACGACGTTTCGACAGTTGCGCCCTCCGGCTTTCATCAGATATATATCGATGCGGGTAACGTATAGAGAGTAAACTGGCCTCGGTACACTTCCTAAGACTAGGGCCAAGAATCTGCATATCAATAGAATAAATAATGGTGTAAATTCTCATCTTAGAGCTCAAAGTATTAACTAATAATAGGTCATTAAATTTAGAAAGTGATTCAAACTATTTATGAAATACTTCTGGAATTAGAAAGTTTAGAACAACGTTTAGAAAGTTTAGAACAACGTTTAGAAAGTTTGGAACAAGTCTCTAAAACCTTCAAAAATTCATTATCAGTATCGGATTCAAAATCTTAACCAAGTAGAATTAAGGCAAATAGTAATCAAAATATTTTGACGGATGAGTTTTAGAACGAGATTAAAAAAAGACTAATAATTTTATACCATGATCCAAACCAGATTAAATATGGGAAGTATAAGAATATTTCCTCTATCACTCCTATATGATCTTGCTCCAACACTCCTATCTGATCTTGCTCCAAATCTTCTGTAACCCCTTGCGTCCTAGTGGCTTTCCGCCTTGCTTGGGGTGAAACGCTTAAAAAAAAACTGGTAAAATATTTGACGTTACGTTCAAAATTATTAACAAATCTAGATTTATTAATTTTAATAGTTTTACATATGTATAAACGAACAGTTTAAGTCAATATAACAACATAAGATAAGCAGTTGACGTATTAGGACCAGAAAAGTATGAAACCTACAGGAAGTCCTGAATAAGGCAAGTAAATGAAAGCCGAAACAATCAATTTTAAGAAATAAGAATGTCTGGTCTATTCGCAAGATGGATATGCCAATGTGCAAGCCACGAGTTGCAAACGTCAAATACAAAAAAAAATTAACTTTCTTAGAAATTTTATAAAATACGACCGAAAAGGTGACACAGAAATTCGAATAGGCATTGTAATCCTGAACGATGCTATCCAAGAAATAGCAAAAGTAATGTCACAGGAAAATTGCGTTAGGAACAAATATATACATATATCTTGATCCTGTATGATCACCGAAATAAAGCAACATAGAATCTGGGCAGTAGCTAGAGAGGTGACTGCTTGAGAAGAGCAGGTGTTTTAGATTTGGATGTGTGGGTGGTGTAATGGATAATGTCTTGGACTTGTTAATCGGAGATCTGAGTTCCAATTCCAGTTGTGCTCGTTATATTCACTTACGCACGAATACACTTGGTAAAGGCATGACCCCCATTCTTTCTCTCCCCAGCTATGGGTTAATTAGTAAGACTTTTATCACTAAACCATTATTATCTAAAAAAATTCTTGCAGTTATAAAAATATTTTCTGGCTTTAAATGACCTGCAACATGTTGATAAACCGTAAAAGACAAACTAATCAATCAAAAACATTTTTTCTCCGATATGTCCTGTGAAAGTCAAATTCTTCTCCTTTTTCCTTACGATATGTCCAAGAAATATCAACTGTCTCATACTGATTCTTAGTATAAGTGTTCTTTTTATTTACATGATCGTTTTAGACTTCATCGTTGCTTACACCCGCCATCAATGGTATTCTCATCATCCTTCTGTAGAATCCCATTTCTGTTGCCTTCTGTCCTGCAATCACCGACATATAGGAAAGCCGATATTACATAGCAGTCTAACACTGTTTTCTCTGTTTCTAAAGAAATTTTCATGTTTCTGCGTACCTTGCTTAGCTTTTGGAAGGCATCATTTGATATTTCAATACATATTCGAATGCCATATTCCCATCATCTTTTAAAACACTTCCCAGATATTTAAACTTCTGTAATTGTTTGATATTGACACCATTAGTTGGTTGTTCGGATCTTGAGATTTTTCTCTTGCTGACAACCATACATTCTGTCTTCTTACAGTTGGTAGTCCTTTCTTCTCGCTTTCTTTTGCTGCCTTATCTAAGAGGTTCTGTGGTTTTATCTCTGCATTTGCCATCAACACGATGCCATCTACGTATCTTACGTTTTTAAGATTGCAACCACCCATAATAAATCAAGGTTGGGTCAGCAGCAGCCTTAGGATAAAGTCGCTGTAGAAGTTAAATAAGTCCGGTGAGAAGACACCTCTTTGTCTCACACTTCTTTTATCTTTTTGTCTACGTACTTAAAATATTCCTTATTACATTGTGATATGGGAAGAAAATGAGTAACTACCGGTACCGAGGTTCGAACGTGTCATTCTGGATTTATGAATATATGTTTTCCGTCAGGTGTATAAATAGCGATGTCAGGCTACTGACTGCAGTGATCATTTAGTGACTATTGAGTGGAACTATCCAGTTGAATTAGTGTGAATTATTGTGCATCGATGATATGGTTTTGATTTAGGATTTGCCGGACGTTAAGCTGAGTCGCGCTACTAACAAGGTTTTCGCTGAAATTGCTAATTATCTTTGGTTGATTTTTACTTCTTTGTTCTTGTTAAGTATTTATTTGCAGTTGTAATTAATTACTGTTTTATCTTAAAATTGAAGTTTTGATTTATACTTAACTGGCAGACATACCCACCTGGTCGATCAGAAAAAGCGTTCAATTAGAATGGAGCAAAAACAGCATCATGATCTGCCCCACAATAATTGATTATATTTTGTGTTTATACGTTATTTTAATAGTGTGGCACCATTTAACGAGGCAGAAAAATAAAAGAAAGAAAAGAAGGAAAAAAAAAGAGGCGAGACCCAAAACGTGGATGATAAGCAGAACACCACGGCTAAGGGACAATGGTTAAAGGATATTTTGATAAGTAACAAATGGCAAAATAGTGTCATTACAATGAACAACTAGACATAAAGTTTGTTATCTTTTCCTTTGATATCTTGAACTTTTGATTTTTCATTTTATTTTCTTTTATGCATATTTGTGTGGTGTCACCCCCGTTGAACCCGATTTGCATTACGGCCCCAACTACTGATTGATCTCGTCTGCCTAAGATCAATTCACAACGTGGGTAGGCAGACTGGAGATCAATGCAGTTACTTTGGTAACCAGGCGTTGGAAGCGAGTTGGGAACGACGAGGCTGAGATCAAATCTAACCAGATTCCCACCCGAATCACCAAAAGGTTAGAACGTCACAGTTGGTGCCGTGGTAGACCAGGATAGGACGTCACAGTTGGCGCTGCGGCCAGGGGACGACGTCACAATAGATACAATTTATCTGTTTATAATTAATCAGTATTAATTAAATTTACCGGCCTGAATGTTCGAGGAACATTAATTTGGACTTTATTAAATTAAGCAAAAATTAATTAAATTAAACTAATTAAAAACATCAATTTGGACTTTTCTCACCAGGCTCTTCTCTGTAGCTGAGTGCTTTAGCACGTCAGATGAAATGACGATTCCGTATAGGATACAGGTTTGATTCCTGCTGGAGAACACTTATTGGGTGATTATTGAGTGGAACTGTCCAGTCGAATTAGTGTGAATTATTGTGCATCGATGATTAAATTTTGATTTAGGATTTATTGGCCGTTAAGCCGAGCCGCCTTACTAACAAGGGGTTCAAAGAAATAGTTACTTATTTTCATATGAATTTTACTTCTTTGTTCTTGTAAAGTATTTATTTACGGTTGTAATTAAATACTGTTTTATCTTAAAATTGAAGTCTTGAGTTATACGTAATTATTAATGGCTACCGTACGTCATAAAATGTATTAAGTGAAATGATCTTGTACATCTTTTTGCATTGATTCGAAAACGACTTTTCCGATATCATCAGTTCATAACACGGTATCTTTTGTGATGACAACTATTTACTCCTGCCTTACTGGTAAGGTTCGATAAATTCAAACTGGCAACTAATCTCAAAAAATGACCCACAATCTGTTGTTAACTGGGACCAAAAATGGTTTGCTAATTTTAACGCCTCCAGAACGATACTGTTTTCTTTTAAATAGTTTTAAGGAAGGTCTTTTCCCTTCTATCGGCATGGCTGGTGCCAACCTTCAAGCAGGAGAGACTCATTGTGCGTTCTCAGGCTAAAGTTTTCCGCTGAGAGAAAGTGAAAACGTTATATGGAATTAATTGTTTGGTCTTCTGCAAGGAAATATGTTTCAGAATGTCGTAGTAGATCATTTTTCTCGCTTCATTCTATGTCACACATTTATAAGTCGACAATGCATACATGAATTGAATATTGCTGTTACATATAGTTTAGTTCTGCTATTTAGAAAAAATTGATAAAATCTATTAAAGAATCAGCAATGATATGTGTGTGTGTTTGTGTGTGTATGTGTGTGTGTGTGTAAACATTTACATATAAATAAAATTATCTGCAAAAACAGAATATGAATAAAGATATAAATAAATCTATAATAAATGAAGATATATATATATATATATATATATATATATATATATATATATATATATATATCGGTAAAGGCAACATGAATGAAGACAAAAGGAAAAGTTCATCATAGGACGAAACGTGACGGTAAAGAAAAGTTTTACTTTTGCCTTTATATATATATATATATATATATATATATATATATATATATATATATATATATATATAATAATGATAAATTCTCTTTTCTACATATATATATTAATAATAATAATGATATATTCTCTCTCTCTCTACATATATATATATACACACACACACACACATACACACACACACA